TGTACAGTTTGAAAGCTGTACATCTTTTAAAAAATTGAACACTGTATTGTTTTCCTCCAGCTTTATTGAAGTTTAATTGACAGATAAAATTGTACGTATTCAAGGTACATAATTTGGTATTTTCGTATACATAACAGTTGAAGTGGTTGTCATAATGAAAGTGATTAACATATCTACCATGTTAAGTAATTAATTGGATGGGCTAAGAAAAGAAAATCTAGTCTCTTAGAAAATTTCAAGTATATTGATTATATGTATCATGCTGAATATTAGCATGCCAGGACTTATTCATCTTATAACAGAAAGTATATACACTTTGGCCAACATTCCTCAAGACCCACCTCTCAATTCTTTCTTTGGAATGAATGTCTGTCAACATCTGACTTTCAAAACAGAGAATTATAGTTGGAGTGTTCTCTACCAAGTGGTTATTTATAAATAATGATTGGCTAGGTGGGCATAATGGTGCACACCTGTCATTCCAGCCCTTGAGAGATTGATGGAGGGCAGTTTCCAGGAGTTTGAGGATGGCCTGGACTACATAGTGAGTTCAAAGCCAGCCTGAATTACATAGAAAGACCCTGTTACCTCCACCACTACCACCATCATCATCATCACAATCATCATCATCATCACAATCATCACTCTCATCAAAATAAATGAAAGTGAAATTTATTAGAGACCTTTGCAAAAAGAGGGAAAAGAATGACCCAAAATAGACAGAACCGTGAGACATCAAAGTAATATAAAGAAGGGCATTTAAATGGAGAAAATTATTTTCACCAGAAGGAAACTGCAGGAAGATGCAATGTACATTGTTTTGGAATCACATTTATTCCTCTGCTGACTGTGTGTATTATCTTTGGACAAACGTTAAGCCTCTCTGAGCCCTGGTTTTTCCTGTATTCATAACAAGAGTAACAGTAGTACTTGTGAGAGTTACATGTTGAGTGATTATCTGAGACCAAGAATTTAAAAAACAAAAAAAAAAAAGAAGGTAAGTAAGAAAGCCTTCATCTGCTGGCGCTCTCTACTGAACTGGTTCACAGGTGAGGACACAAACACCACTGTTCTCATTCAGGAATCAGAGTCCTCAAAGCCGGATTCTGAGAAGGCAGGATAAAACATCACTGAGTGGGAGGATCCAGCCACAGCACGAGACTTTTTGAGAATTATCTGGAGGGGAAAGATGCCGCAGGGCATCCATGCCAGTCTTGAGAGACACGAGGCTAAACAAAAGCTATGAGCTGATAGTAACCTTCATGGGGCAGCAGGGACCCCAGGGCTCCCCAGGGCCTCCATGAAGAAATGCACTTTCAAAGTGAAGTCAGTATTTGCACAGCACCAGCGCTGGTTGTTAAAGAAGCATTTTATATCACCAACAATATTCATTGCTTCTCATATTTGGAATTCTGGCTAGAGGATAAAGGTTATGGTGTATATATCACTGCTAGTTCATAAGAGAGCATTTTGGGTTAAAAAATGCAAAGCTTTTGGAGAAGTGCATAGAGACCCGCCAACTAGTTAAGAATCCCACTGTGACATATGGAGCCCTCCAAAATTGTGCTCCTCAAAATTTTCCTCTCTAGCTGAGTTAGGAGAGTGGTTTTGTAAAGGGACCAAATTTACATCCATTTTTGTTAACTTATTTTATGCACAAAGATAAAATCTTTTAATGATACTAACCAGGCAGTACTACATACTTGAAACAGCTGTCTGATGAAATGGAAAATAAGAATTTATTGCACTTACTACGTATACTAAAAAGCACGCAATGTGCAAAACATAAATAAATAACAACAATAAAGTCTTTCCCTTAACATCTTAGTAGAAATGCATGAAGAAAAATGTTTCTGGTGAGGAATTTTGCTGAGAAAGAAATAGAAGAACCTCTTCAGGGAGTCCACATTTACAATCTGAGCCAAGAGTTATTGGTACCAAAGATGATCTTAGTGCTTTAAATTGGTTTTTAAACAGAAAACTTTGAACTAATGGGGATAATATTGACATTAAGATTTTGCATATTAACTAAAATTACATGATAGAATATTAAAGAATATAGCTACATGTTTTCCTTGATAAATCAAATGGGAGGAAATGTTGCTTTATTTTTTCTAAAGTATAAAGCCTTTTGATGTTGTACTTAAGGATGCTTGAAATTCAGATTGTTTATGCCAATACTCATCTAAATCATGGCTGTACTTTCTTTCAATAGCACAGGGACATTTTTACTACTGGTCAAAAACTTCCCCGAGAAATGAAGAAATTTTACTGGGCTTCCAAATCTTGTAAAAAAGAACTCTTTTTCCTCACCCTAACTCTGTGTTCCACCTGGGAGGCCTACCGCCAATATTGGTGGAAATTTTGTCTTGCTTGTCAGCCTTCTAGATATGTGGAAAATTTCTATATATTTATATAGTTAAAAGGAAATACTTGTCACGTAAGCCTAAAGGAAAATTCATACCTCTTTGACCTATAAAGAAACAGACACAAGCCTGTAAGAGCATTCAAATGCAGACAAAGAAATACTTTCCAGCATAATTTAGACTGTTTCATTTACTGTTTCTTAATTGACTTCATATATTCAAGTAACATAGCTCTAGGAATTTCCTTTGTAAAAAAAGTTTGCATTTAGAAATAGGGTCAAGTGATAATCCTCACGTGAGGAATCTAGATTTATTAGAAAACCCTACAGAAATAGATTTTCCTATTAGGTCATTTTATGAATCAGTTTGCAAGTTATTTGGTAGTAACATGTAATCTCCTCCTAAATCTGAGAGGCTTATTAACACCAAGGTTCCTGATCCACCTAGGTTATATGTTGTACAGATTTCTTCCATACCAGCATCTGAATCCAGAGCAGCCTCTTGCTGATGGTGTTAGCTAAAAGTTACAGTTGATGTGAACGTGGTCCCGTCTTTCCTTTATGATCATTGGTCAGTTCTAGGGCCATGGAAGTGTCTTTGAAGTGTCCAAAGAGCTCCAAAGATCCCGCAAGGTATGCAACTGATGAATGGCAGGACACTGTAAGCATAACTGAAGAGTGTGACCCTGGATTACCCTTGTCCCTCAGTCTCCTTGTATTCCAATTACTAGTGACAGTCACAGGTAGCTCCTTTAAGTCTGAGGTGTTACAACTTTACGGGCAGCAATTAGAGCCAGGAAACTGGTGAGGTCAATCTAGCCAGGAGGACACTCTTGTCAATTTTTTTTTTTTCTCTTTTTGAGACAAGGTCTCACTTTGTAGTTCATACTGACCTGGAACTCACTTTGTAGCCCAGGCAGGTCTCAGACTTGCAATGATCCTCTCAAGTGCTGGGATCACCGGTGTGTGTCACCACACTCGGCTGGCGCTGATCAATTTCAAACCACACAATGGAGCACATAAGCAGGAAGTTCTTAGAAACACCCTACATTTTCTGTGAGAACAAGAAGCAATGTTTGATGAACACTTCCCATGTGTGAAGTGCTTTGTATCCACTGTGCCTCTGAGCCTCACTTCAGCAGGAATAGGTGAAAATGGAGTGCTCATTTTCCACAAGTGAAGAAGCAAGATTCAGGACAACTTAAGTAACCCTCTCAGAATCACACACTGAGTAAGTGGTAGACTCTAGGGTCAATCTAGATGATCTGATTTGGGTATTTACACTTTTAACCACATAGTATGATCATACCTAATGTTCATACTCTTGAGCCTGGGATATTACAACAGTCAAAGTCAAACAGCCTTCAGAATCATGAAAGATGAAATCATGCTCCACGAAGCTTTTGTATTAAATTTATCTTGTAGGTTAACCCAGTTGTTAGTATACTTTTTCTGTAAAAAGTTAAATAATTTAGACTTCTCCAATCAATATTAGCACACACCTTTCTTTTTAATGACCTGAGAAACACTAGTAGTATAACTAACTTGCATTTTTTGCTTTTCCCTTTCTTTCTTTCCCTTCTTCTAGCTCCTTTTTCCTTTTGAGCAATTTCTTCCCATTTTACAATATCTAATATGTATTTTTTAATTTATTTATTCTTTCAGTTTGTCACATGAGGAAGACAATACTATGTTTACATATGGGGCTTGATTTATTTCACTTATGAGTATATTCTCAAGTTGCAACCGTTTACCTATAAAAGTTTCAAGTTTACCATTCTTTATGACTGAGTAGTATTCCATTGTATTAAAAGACCACCTCTTTTTTTTTTTTTTATCTGCTCCTAAGTTGAAATAACCCAATTATTCCATTCTTGGCATCATTCGGAAAGAATTAAAAACATCATACTACAGTGATATATGTGCACCCATGTTTATAGCAGCACAATTTGTAATAGTTAAATCTTGGAAACAATTCAAATTTTATTACTCTTACAACATTTTGAAATGTAAGAAGTATTCTTAGCCTATGAAACCATAGAAAAGCAAGGTATTGGCCAGATTTGACTCATGGGCTTTAGTTTGACAATTAGTGAAAATTCATCAATTGACATACTAGGTATGACAGATGTGTGACCTCTCCAAATCATGTTATTACTACATCTCGTGTACAACCATTCTGAAGCAATGCGAGTATGTTAAATAAGACAGTCAGGCAGGGTATATCTCTATAACTTCATAAGCTTGACTCTGGAGTCACCTCAGTATAAAATAAGAGGCACATGAGGATGCCCTAAATGCCTCCTTGGGGGAAGGCAATGTCACACTCAGTGCCTGTTGTTCTCCTGAAAATACAACCAGGTGATATTTTGTGGATATAACTGTCACTGCTCTTGAAAATTTTGCTGAAAATATCAATGCATTTTATTAAATTGAAAGACCACGTCCAATTCTTCTCTTTCTCAAGAAGATACCAGAAGGTATTTGATCCAAGGTAATTTAAAAAGTGATAAAGGCCCAGGATGCCTTGAATCTTTGGGATCACGTTTTAGGAAATTGGATTGGGAAGGGTGATGGCCAGTAATTTTACCCACGTTTCTACAGAACTTACTGCACACCAGACATAGGTCTAAGCTTAATGGGTAGCAACATTTAATACTCACAATCATGTTAAGAAGACAATAATAGTTTTGCCCCCACTTTTTGGATGGGGAAATCAAGGCACAGAGATCTAGGGGACACATTTAAGTTTAAGAAAAAAGTAGGAGGTATGTCCAAGATTTGGCCCCTGAGGCTGGCTTTAGACACTGTATTGCCCTGTTTTTCCATATTCCAGAATATGGTCAGACCTACGGAGGACCAATATTGGTGTGTGATGACTAGGGCATCATTCCTGAATCAAGTACATTCAGTGAAGTAATCCAAAGTTACTCAAGGTAGTTGGGGGATACTGGGCTCTAACTATGCTAACTGATCTCTATGAAAGTGAGCATTAGGTGTACTTGAAAATTCTCATGTGTAAAAGAGTATTGTGAGTTTTTAACATTATCTTCTATGTCAACATATTAAATGTTTGCTAATCACTTTGAGCGTTGTCTTCCATGGATGTTATATATAAGTAGTCTGTGACTCTGTATACCAAGTTCCTTGACTTCAGGAGAAACTCTAGACCTGGAAATTAGTCTTATTCACTTGACCTATAAGTAGTAAATAGAGTGATGATATTTTCTCATCTATGTAATCAAGGTTCAGATTGCGTTCCTCTAAGATATATTGCAATACATATACTTTTACAATTCGATGGTCACCACAATATTTAACCATTGAGGTACGTCTTTATTCACAAAGAAAAGTTTTTTACTAAATAAAGCTTTAAAAATCTTTCTTGACTGTGGCTAAAGTATTTTTTTAACCTAAAGTATTTTTTTTTTCATTAACTTCAGGATAAAAATGTTCTTAAAATGAGATCACATTCATAACAATCTAGACTAATACCCACCATGCAAACATCCTTCACAAAAGACTCAGTCCTTTAGTAAGAAAAATGAATAAAATAACTCCTTATTAACCCAAGACCAAGATAAAAATCTCCAGGTATCCGTCAGATGCTATAATCTGCTTTGAACTTTGGCTTAAGTTATTTCCATGAACATCCTCTGCTTCCACTGGGGTAGACAGCATATAAGACAGAGCACCACAAATCACTTTGTTTAAAGTTACCAAAGAAGGAGAGGGGGGAGAAAAACAGTGCAAAGTCGGCTGTTAATTAAAACCAGCTGATGATGTACAGCGATTTGTCTGGAGCACTTCTGACCGGGTTGGTTTTTTGACAGCTGTACATTCTTTCCTGCCTGGATTGTTTGAACTTTGTCCAATGGTGCAATTGTTAAATCTCAGATAGCTGTTGTTTAAATATGGAGGGTAGGGAGGCACTTTTTGTTTTAAGCAAGAAAGGGAGATGAGTCTTGTATTACATTTAAAAAGTGAGTGCTTACTAGATCATGTTCACTGGTTCTCGATACAATGCCTCTGGTGTTTTCTTGATAGTCCACTGACAATTTTTCACTGTACAAATGTCAGAAATCCCACTTCCTCCCTTCTTCCCTAAAGGAGTGCTGCTGTAGGTTAAAGGGAAATACTGTGAAACACCTGGTCTTACTCAGTGGAGGCTGGGGATAGGTTAATTTCACAGCCCAAATCTTCACAGCGTGGAAAACGTTTGAATGTTTGCTAATTGAGAAAAGAGCTACCTAAGGAAAGCAGAGGTGCTTCCACAAAATTGCTCATAAACACCTAAGAGATTGCTTCTTGTTTTAATTTGAGAGACACTCTATAGCTAAACTGTGTGTCTCTAAATCCCAAAGCAACTTTAAAATCAACGATTACTCATACTTTCTTAAAGAAAAATTGACATTACAGAGGTATAAAACAATAATTTGTATGCTTATGTATATCCTAAACTTTTGACTGTAAAATATTTTATACACACAATAATCTTTCTAAATACCCATCATCATCACATGTACATATACCACATACAGATAAACAGGGTAGATACATAGGTAAGTACCTAGATGATGATGACGAAGATAGATAGATAATGGATAGATAGGCAGATTTAGTGTTTCAATTTGTATTTCAGGGAAAATTTTATTTTTTAAAGTTTTGTTTCTGAATAGCTCCATTCACTACCAGGATGTTGTTCTAGGGTTTTTTACACATTTCTTTTTATCATGAATATTAGCCTTTCAAGTTCTAGTGCAGGATTAGAATTCCATGATCTCCATGGAACTAATGCCCCTTGGGCTGCACATGGCTCCGGTTTGTTTTGAAGGGATCTCAGAATTGGATTGTTCACTAGGACTCTAGACTCCTGGGGCAAATTTTTTCAAAGACAGGTGTGAGAGTTACCCTTGTTTATTCAGAAGTGAGTCATTGTCTCCTGTCCTCTGCTGCTTATCTCAAGCCTGTAAAGGTCAAGTGAAGTTCTAGTTCACATGAAGATGTCCCTTCTGAGCTGTCGGCCTCACTGAGGAGTCTGACTTTCATCGCTTCAGTTCCAGGAGGCAGAGAAAGGCTAAGAGGGGCACAGTCAAAAGCCGGTAATGGATGAAGACCCTTGGCAGAAGAGAGAGGCCAGGAGCTGGTACACTGGAGCAGAGCAGAGATTTAAGCCAAAGCCAGTTTTTCCATGTTGAAAACGGCTTAAAAAAAAAGAAGAGCTTCAGAGGAGAAAGCTGGGCACCATCAGCCCTAAGTTTCCTTTTCTCACATTGTCTGATGTCCAGAAGCATAGACAGCTCATTAAGGAAGTGTCAAAGAATCATTTGTTAATGAATTAAAATTTTCCTCATGCTGTCTGCCTTTTAAAGGAGGTTAATCTACCGCTGTAATTTATGGGTAATACTTTGGGAGCCCAGGAAGGCCTGAAGGTCCTTCAGCGCTGGCTGAGAGTATGACCATGGCTCTTAGGCTTTTAAGTTTCGCAGGGCATGACAGGGACAGACTGTAAAGGCAGAATCTGGTTCAAATCCCAGGCTGGTCTTCCACAGCTTTGTGAGTTGGTTTATTCCATTATCTATCCTTTAGTTCTTTCATTTGTGAAATGGAAAGTAAAATGTTTACCTTACAGTTTTTAATGCTGTTTCCTGAGGATTAACTAAAACAATAGAGCTACTTGATGTAATGTCAGGGACATACTGAGTTCTAAAATTATTAAGTTCTATAATTGTTTTTATTATATGACTTCATGATATTATGTCTCTGGAGAAATTGAAAAAGTCCCTAAGTGACTCCATATGTTCAACAGAAATTACAACACCAGTAGGAGTAACGTATTTGTCAGTTACTGCATTTCTTATAGTGATCATTGCTTTTCTAGAATAATATCACTTTAAAATGTTTCAGGGGAGTAATTCTGAGAAAGACACCTGGAGAGCATATGAAACTGTTTAGTACTCTCATACAGGATCCTAGAGATTGCTGATTTCTGCATAAAACATGAGAATTATAAATATTGAATAATTTTAAAGTGATGGACAGATTAAATATTTCCATAGCTGAACTACTTCTGTGCTGTATTATGCTTTTGTATCTGTGCTATTTTAATGGGCTACTTTGTGGCCCAATGGTTTTAACATGTGTTCAGTCCTAAATAACCACTCATTAATCTTAGGTGACAACCAGATTTTAATATGTATTAGGGTGTGCTATTGTTGGTGATATGCTTTATGTTATTTATAGTAAACACACATTTTTCCAAGAATAAAGTTATCTGTACACGAAACTCTTATCTTAAAACCATGGTGAGTGGATATGCTTAACTTCAGGCAAAACTTTAAGAAGCACCTATGTTTTAACTAAAAAGTAGCTTTTAATAATAATTTGAATTTAACTGTCAAGGTTGCTTAAATTCATTCTTTAAAAATGAATAGGTTTCATAAAAGTGAACTTGCCTATGTCATGTTAGCTTAAATACAAGTATTTGCTGATTGTTGTTAAAAGTTTCTGATGTAGTTACTAACCCTGAAAAAGAGAGGCCAGATGACTATAGGTAGTCAATTTATATCACAGTGAAAATGATTTGGAAGAGGTAAAACGTGACTTAGGTTTGGTTGCCCGGTCTGTTTTTCTAATTGAACTTTATGCAGGTTATCTCTCCTCCAAATATCTGAAACCTATAATGCCCCCAAATTCAAGACATGATGCCACAAGTGGAAAATTACACACCTGACTTTATGTGATGAGTTGCAGACAAAACACAGGTGCCTTAAAATGCTGATTAAAATTACCTTCAGGCTATGTGGATATGGTATCTATGAAATATAAATGAATGTTGTTTTTAGAATTGGGCCCCATCCTCAAGACACATTATTACTTACACACAAATATTTCAAAATATTCCAAATGCTGTAACACTTTTGAATACAAACATTCAGTAAGGGATTCTGTATTGGTTGGCTTTCCTTGGGGGACATGATACCCAATGCTCACAACTTCATGGTTTCAAAGGATTCAGTCCATGGTTCAGTCCATGGCAGAAAGACAAAGTGGAGCAAAGATGCTTTAGTTCATGGTGACCTTCCGGTCAGAGTTGTGAGACAGGGGAGGAGTGAAGGACCATGTGCAGCACCCAGGTCACACTTTCTGATCCACCCAGCTATGCCTGCACTTGGGCTTTACTAACTTGCTAGGCATTTCTTAATGCAATGAAGTTGATGAATCACAAAAACAATCTAGAATACCCAAATGTACCACTTCCTTCCAGTCCTTAAAGAAATGCTCCAGGAAGTAGGTACCGCAGATGGGGTTAAGTACATTCTTCACTGTCCATTGAGGCTTTCAAACCGTTTCCCCAAATACCCTCTAGATATCATTGGTCCACTAGAGCAAATTTCTTCTCACCACATCTGTGTCTACTGTTTGTCTCAATTTCCTGCTGTCTTGGAAGCCGACTGAACACATCTATTGAAGAATCTGGCACCTGAGATCATTATTTTTGCTCCATCTGAGTGCAGCACTATCTCTAGTGACTTTGGAATTCTCTGCTTCACCTGCAACTCCACTGGCCTTCTGTCATCCTTTTAGGCACTGCTTCTTAAGGCAAACCCATGGGATTCTCCATCTTCAAATTCCTAAATACTGATAATCTACTGTGAGGAAAAGTTCAGTTTATTGTATCACCACTTCTATACTGTCTACTCTTCACACTTGCTGTACTTCTTTTCTTTCAGAGTCAGCGTTTCCTCATCCCATTTTCATCTTGTTATTAATATCATTGAGATCCTCCACTTTCCTCTCTTCTGCTTTTTATAACATGCATTCAATAAGTTACAGCATAGAATACTGTTCCAAGCTATGTTTTTGATGCCAGTGCAAAGGCTGAACATTGTTAGGAGAGAATTATGATTTCATCCTCAATGAGGTTTCTAATATTACCTACCAATGCTTTTGCTTATTGTTGAGCAACTAGCTTTCCAGTGCCCTTCACTGTTCATGAGAAAATCATCACTATTAAGAACTCTGTCACACTAATGCCTCAATTTTGGTAAGAAAACTTGACATAATAATAACAAAAATTAAGTGACTAGTCAGCATGTCCCATGATTTTGCTCTAAATCTGTGTACCAATCTGGCTGTTATTCCCATTTCAAACCATAAAACATTTCATTCCTTGTTGAAGTTCATAAGTTGTATTTTTGTGTCTCCTTCCTCCTCCCTTTCATTCATCATTCTCCCTTTCATATCTCCAGGTTCTTCTTCTCAGTTGGATTTTGCTTCTCAGGCCACTAATGGATTCAAGTTTTCCCAATTTAAACATCTTCCTAGATTGAGAATCTGAGCTGAATTAAATCAGCTAAGGAAATATCCAGGCAGAGCTGGTATTGTTCCAGAGTGGGGAAAGACGATGAGCTTGTTTTCCATGTGTGTGGAAAAGAGGTGACATAGTATATTTGGAACTGTGATGTTTAAAAGGCTATTGGTAAGGAGGTCTTAGCTGACAGCTAGTAATTTGAATTTCACAGTGTTCCCACCGTTCTCTGACAGGATGATTACTCTATCTAAATTGTTTGTACACATAACATGATGTTTGTTGTACATCAGTTTTGCTCTCAGGAGTATGGAAGTTTTGTATTAGGGTCAGAGTGCCTTGTGACCAGCCCAAGTCAACACCTTGGAGGTTAAGTCTCTGAAGAGCTTCTTCTACAGGCAACAGTTCATACCTGTTGTCACAGTTAGATGCTGGAGAATTAAGCATGTGTGGCCGTGTTGCCAGGGAGGATTTGCTGGAGATTGTAACTGGCTTCTCTGGACTTCAGCTCATGTACCTTCTCACTGTGCTGCTTTTTCCTGTTATCATATCACTATAACTAACTATAGCTGTATGACTCCCTGCTTAGTCTTATCATTCTTTCTTGTGAATCACTGAGTCTGCTATAGCTCTTAGAGATTCTTGACAAGCACAAGTATTTATTTCATGGAATTCTGTCCTGTATTCGAAGGAGGATGTTAGTAGGAGCAACAGATGTGGATTGAAAGCTAATATCATAAAGATACCAGGGACAGAAGCAGGAAACACCAGCTTCAGGTATTCTCAGTGAGGCTGTGCTGATTACATCCTGTGCAGACTTTATTCAGCTAGCTTCTTTCATTATTTTCTGATCACGAGGCATTTAAATACATTCTTAGATATTGGCCTAAGCTTGTTTCTTCCTAAAATGAGTTTTCAATCCTTAAAACCATGACAACTCACAAAACACAAACTGTCTTCAAGGTGCCTCAAGATTATACTATTTCATTATTCAATGGTTATTGCCTACAGATGTCTTATGGTGCCCCAGGTACAGTGAAAGCCACTGGCAATCCAAAGACAACTCTGATAAATCCATCTTTGTCCTCCAATAACTCATTCAAAGGGAGAAAATTGTCAAATTGAAATATGCAAAAGGTCTTTGTTTAGATCATAGTTTTGCAATTGCATATGAGCTTCAGGAGTTGCCGGTCACCTGTGTCGAGCCACAGCTATGCATCTAACAGGTGAACAAAAAAAAAACTGCTAGGTGACTCAGCAAATGGAAAATGTGGCGATTCCTGAAATAGTACTGAGTCATTAATCACAGATATCCTGTCTCAGTCCACGCAGCAACTGGGGATGAATAAGCAAAGAAAGTGAGCTAACTGAGGATGGAAATACCCTTGAGACACTTGTTGAGTCAATATAAGGACATGGAAAACTTCAATAGTCATTGATTCAGATGGAATGAAACCAGAGAAGAACATTTTCCAGCAGCTTGATCTTCAACCAAGAATCTTGGCAATCATCATGCTTCTGGATTCTTTGCTTTGGGAATTGGAGAAAGGAAGGAAAGAAAAGAATAAAATAATTTTCAGAACATATATCCTAAATTTACCTAATATGACAATACGTAGTACAAAATCTGTATTTGATGTGAGATTTCAAAATGAATTATAAGCAGCAAATTATAATACAGAGAAAAAAGAAAACAACCCTGAGAAACGGATAGAATAAAAAGCCTTAAAAGTGATAAGTTCAGTGAGTTAAAAATAAAATACATTTTTTTCTAAACTTCAAATCATGACATATGTGAGTTGTTTCAAAATATTGCCTTGGCAAGTTCAGCAGAGAAAAAAGTCATATAACACTTATCTTGTTTATGGAAACTTCCCACTAAATGTGGAACATCCCAAATTTTTATCATTAATTGTATTTCTGTTAAGCATCACCAGATATTTTATTGATTTTCACTGCAAAATCAGGGATTTTTTTTTAAGGAAACAAAGTCTCTTTTATGTAAAAGATAAGAGCACAGTAAATTTCCTGAAACACAACTTAGTAGAAAAGAATTGTTACCAATTACATATCATTTTTCCAATATATTAACACCAGTATGTACTAAAGTAAGTCATAAAAATGTTGAATTGATTTAAAGTTGCTTCTGAACTTCAATTAAGACTGTCAGTGTAAAAAAATGATCAAGCTACTTCTGAGACTCAAATGGTCATGCTCAGCATAGTGTGTTCTCATTTGTCTCCTTTTCTCACTTATTTCTAGGTAACTCGCTCAGCACTTGTATGTGTTTTAGTACCACTGATTAAGAAAAAAGACTAAACACCAACAGGGCTGCAAAACTCACAACCATTGATCATGCTCCTTCCAATTCAGATATTGGCTAACTGCTTGATGGTCTTACTGCATTTAGTTCTCCTGTGCAGTGCAGAGTAGGTGTCCTTAACCTTGTTTTAAAGGAAAGATTGAAATGTCCATGATCTCCTTGCCAGCTGATCCCTAAGAAGGGGCCCTTACCACTTGAAAATGCTGGGTCCTTCCCTAAGTATTTGGCAGGGTAGGTGGCAGTCAGGGTAGGTGGCTGCCGGACCTGCTATTGCCTAGGAACCCTGGATCCCAAAGTTTGGAAGGCCCTTGAAGGATACCTACCAGCCACACCAAAGACATAGCCTCCTGGGAGTCTGCCCCTCTTGAGAAAGTGGTAGCAGCTTGGCAATTTGGCCAGCAGTTTAGCATAAGTGAGGCTGAGTGATGATAGCTGGTCCTTAGCATTACATGTGGAAGCTGTTTTGTGAACTTATGTTTAGTGAGATAATTATGCAGGTTTGGCAACTCCCAAATGCCGCATATGCCTGTGAGCGCAGTCAAAGAACTCAGATGGAAACCCTTGGCTTTGGTTTCTGGCTTCACTGGCTCCTTAGCTTCTAGTGGATGGCAGTCAACGGGGACAGAAGACAGAACCCGAAACTGTGAAGACAAGTTTTGTGCATGCAAAGTACATTTGTTGAATCAAAGAATAATAGAAAATGAAATGCTGTGTTTACTTGCTCTTCACAGATCTTTTTCTTTCTCCTTCTCATTCTAAAGTAAGAGAATTGCTTGAGTTTTATCACCTTTCTTAGATCACAAGTAACTCAGGAAGCTTTGGATTTAGTAGTCAGTGGGATCAGTAGGATTCTACATTCCTGTTTCTTCCCATAAAAGTTTTACATAAATCAATCAATTAATCATGAACTATGAAACATCTGTGAAGTCCTTGGTCCTTCTTGGAGCAAGAGCATGAATTCCTTTGTTTTTCTGCACTTTATTGATTCACTCAGCTGCTCCAAGGAGACCTCTGCAAAAATCCTACCTACTCACTCCCTTTATCCTGCTAATTTTTTATCTTTCTTTGCCACCAATGCTTTCCACCTAATTTCCCACTCCTTTTCTTGCATGGATTACGTTTTCCTTGCAGCCAGTTGAGGTTTGTGAAAGGATTCCTCATGGTTCTCACCTCAGAAATTCCTCCAGAATATAACAGCACCTTCTTTTGCTTGGAATTCTCCAAGAGTGCTCTGACCAAAAGATTAATTTTTCTCTTCCCTCTCTAAATGCCTCAATAGAGATATAGACGTGCACATGTTGTATATTGTATTTATTAAGGTTTTACTATGCACACAGTCTAGTCTATATTTCTTTGCATAACAATCTAATGAGCTGGTAAGAACCTCACAAATTCAGTAGCCCAGTACCTTTCCCCGAATAAGTCAGGGCTTTCTGAGCCAAGCAGCCTTGCTCTGTCCATTATATCCCCAGCTTCCTCTTAATACTCTGATCAAAGCTATCATAGGGCACATTCTGTATTAAGTATTGGATATTTTGCTCTTAGCAGAGTACTTAATACAGAAAAAATAATCAACAAGGTTTAATTGAACAAATGTATTTTCAAAATAGTCACTGATTCATTATTCATGGTGTAAAAAATTCTTACACCCAAACAAATGTCTCCCAAAAGTCTGGTGTTAAGAGATGAAGCTTTGGGGATGTTATTGCATCATGGGATGCTAATCTCATCAGTGGATTAGGCTGTTCATAACTTCATAGCTAACTGTGCTGCTCAGACGTAGTGCCTTGGTTAGAAGGGACAGGTCCCTGGGGTGTGACTTGGTAGGGTATATTATTGTCCTAAACTCCTCTTTCTCTCTCTGCTTTCTGGCTGTCATGCAGTTCTGTGATGCCTGTTCCGCTTTGGAGCCAGCCATGGACTAAATCCACTGAAATTGTGAAAGAGAATAAACCTTTCCTCCTTTTAAGATGTGGATGTCCAGTATCTTGTCCTAGTGACAGAAAAATGACAGATACATCGGTTAAACCGGAACCTAGGTGACCTGGCTCTGCAGCCCCCATTGCTCCACATTCCTCAGCTCTGCAGAGCTCGGATTGTTTCCTACCTGCCAGAAGTACCCTCACGCATGTCTACTTCGCATCACCAAGGTACAGAAACAGGATTTCCCAAACCACTTCCCTCAATTACCCAACAAACAGGAGGGAAATCTAGCTGCATTTTCAAGGCTCTGAAGGCTAAGAGTAATCACATGAAAGGAAAAATAGTCAAAGACAAAGTCAATAACTATACATTAAGGAAAAAACACAAATGAAACCTTTTTGTTGTTGTTTGCTATTTTAAACCAAGGGGCTATTAGGAATCTGCATTTGAGAGAGGAATGCTGTTGGCACAGAAGGAGAAATATTCTAAATCACACAAAATATTCACTTTATAATCAAATGTTTAAAATCCCATAAGCTGACCCTGGAACCAAGACAGAATAAGCAGGCTTATTTCAGAATTCTTAGAGCTGGAAAAGGCTATTTCAGTAAATGGCTAGTTGCAGGCCTGAATGAAACATTTTAAAGAAAAATGTCACAAAGAAGTCAAACTGTGCATTCTACACTGCCTTCATCCCCCCCCATCTCCTTTCACAAAAGAAAAAGATTAATTTTTTGCTGCCTCCTAAAGGAGACAAAGACCTTGTTGATTTATTTATCTTCAAATCCAGTTAGTATTATAAAACCAGCCCTGACTACAGACCCCAACCCAATGTTAAACAACTACTAATGATTTGCAGGCAATCTTAAGAAGCCGTTGAGGAAGATGTCACTCTGCTTGAGGGTCATCTCTTTTTCTTGTCTCTAACTTTTTTGTCACTTTCAGCATTTGAAAGATAACTAGATATTTTCTTTTCGTGAAACTTGATGACTTCAAGTGGAGAGTAAACCAGCTGTAGCAAGACAACTCTTGAAGTGCAGGGAGATATCCTGTCTTCACATAAATGTTTACAAGAGCAGAAAAGACTGAACAAGAAAACACAGCAGAAAGCTGCATGACTCACAGGCTGAATGGCTTCTAAATTAAGCATCTCTCAGAGTTTCCCAGGAGGTGCTGGTGTGAACAGGCAGCAGGGGCTCTGCTGGTATGGAAGGGATGTGTTTAAAATACAAAGAGGTGCATTTGACATCACCTGGGAAAAGCACTCTTGCTTCGGAGGTTTAAGAGAACCTATGTCTCAGGTGATAAATATTCTTCACCTGGGTGGCAGTATCATGGACAGCTCCTGACTGGGCCACTCCACAGATGTGGAGCAGAGGCTCAGCAGCAAGCCTCATGCTGATTCACAGATGTTCCTCTCCTAAAGCACCTCCAAGTGATGGTAATTTAGTTTAATTTTAGAACTTGTGTGCAGGACCTGGGAATGTTTTTAAGCTGGGAGCAGGTTTCACTGAAGTTGGCTTGTCAGTTTTGAGAGTAAGGTTATAATTCAGACTATCTACACATTATTCAGTTCCATGTATTTGAAAGCACTGTGCATTTGGAACCAATAGGGACAGTCAACCATTGGAACTACTATGCAAATGGCAGGCACTCCTGGCCTTAACTCAGTCTCACAGAAGCATGGCCACTGTTCCCCACATTCAAAACTTTCTGATTAGGAAGTTCTAGAAGAATCCAGAACGTTCCATGCTAGAGTTCAACCATGCTACCTTTTCCAGTTGTATCTAAAGGGTTTGGGATGATTAAGAACTATGATTGAAATGGTCCTCAGAATCTCACTGTGGTTAATGACAGCACCATATGCCCAGATAATAAAATGGCAATATTATATCAGTTAATCGTAATTTAGGAGTGATATAGTTCCAAGTAAAAGTTGTATCTAAGAGTGCGCAGCCCTCTATATGTTCAGAGAACCATACTGTTGCATGAGTTATTGTTTTGAGTTGCCATCATTAAAGAAACAAGAATTTGGGACACCCAGTTACATTTGAATTTTAGATAAAAATTTAAGTAGATTTGTGTTCTTTGCAACATTTCATTACTCATTGTTTACTGAAATTTTAATTTAACTTGGGCATCTTGTATCTTAAATGATAATCTTGTGAGATACATGAGTTTTCTGAGGTATTGTTCTATTAAAAACACATTCTGGATATTTTCCCACATGAACTATGTAATCTAGAGAGAATGTGTCAAAGATATTTAATATTTGTAAGAAAACTGCAATTCTGGAAGGGTTTTTCTTAGCCACGGACATTTACTGTAAAGCTACACCCAGAAAACCAGCAGGGGTGAAGTAAAGGCAACATAAAAATGCAGGCATCTTGTTGTGACCTAACACTTCCACCCCAGCAGAACTCACAGCTCTGGCCAGAATGCCTCAGCTTAGGGTTCTAGTTCCCTCCCTTTTCTTTGCTGTTTCATGGCCTCCTGTAGCAGGAGAGGAGGAAAAAGAGTTTTAAAAATCCAGCAGCATTTTAATGTACATTTGTTTTGGCATTAGCTGAATTCTGGAGATGAAAACGATTTACTGCTTTTAATTCAGTCCATGTGCATCAAAGTTGAATGTGGGGAGATCTGGCTTTTAATAAGAACGACTAACAAGCATTTTTGCTCACAGGAAGTCGAGAGGAGTCCCTGCTTCTAAGAATACAATGAACAATGACTGGCCCTTAGGCAGCCCACATTTGTACATCAGTTATTTTGCAGCTTCTGATGTGACTTGTGGCAAATCTGAGAGGGGGTTAGGAGAGACATCCCTGACCCTTTCAGCTACCACATGGGCAGCCTGTTTTGGAATCTTTCTTTCCCTCCAAGGAAGAAAGCTGCTGCTCTTTCCCAGGCAAGTGGCCACTACAGGGACACTGGCTTTAGATAATCTGTACCCGGGGTGAGTTGGACTACACAGACAGCTACCACCATCTCCACTGGTGAAGCTAGTGGGGCTTCTGGGTGCCTTGATTTCTAAAGAGCTCCCTTGGTATGTTTTAGGAAGCAAAGTTGTAACAGATAGCTCTGGCTGCCAGTCTCTGAGTCGCCACACAGCTGTATCTGTGAGCTTTCCCCCGCCCCCTGGGTTGGTCCAAAGAAGACTCCAGCGGGCTACATGGAGGATTCCAGCATCCAGCTCTCGACCCCTGGCTGGAGCAGTGGTGTGAGAGTCTATGCTCATTTGCCAGCCTCTACTTCAGGGTTCACTTCAGATGGTGTGGAATGAGGGTGAGCCTTGCTGATTTTGTATGTGGCATAAATCTCTTTACTTTATGACATTTCCAGTTTGAGACCATCAGGGGAACTGTGTGAACATTTCTAGGCAAAGCCTGAAGTAGATTGTTTCTTTTTTTTTTTTTTCCTGACAATTGTTTTCATGTGTGGTGGGAATTAAATTCCAAAGATGAGGGATGGGGAATTCTCCACGGAGCGGGTGAGACAATCTCTATTCATGTCCCAAACTACAAATGACTGCTTAACTGGGAGAAACTGTGACAGGAGTTCACTGGGGGAAATGTGAAAACAAAGTGAACCAGAAAAGAAATAGGAACACGGACTCTTCAGTTCCTGTTTATCCTATTTTTAATCTCCACATCTGAGCGTCTCTCTTTCTTGTTTCTATTGCCTCGCTGGGATTCATACACATACCAGGCTTGCATTAGCCTGGAGGACAGAGAGGAGGTGGCGTCTCTGCTGCCTGTGAGGGGTCCTCTGACAAGAGCAGGAAGAGGTGGTGTGGAGAAAACCCCACCATATTTAACGCAGAGTGGCAGGGAAGTAGGAAAGATGACCTCTGCTCACAAATATAAATGATGACTCCTTCCAGTACTTATCTCAGTCAGGCAACTAGCAATTCCAAACAAGTGGGAAGACAAAAGTCAGGGAGTGGAGGGAAAACCATGAGTTTATGGACAAACAGTTCAGTCTGGCTGGTGACCTGATAGGCCTAACTAGCTGTGCGGCCCTCGGCTCCCTCCCCTTCTCCCTCAGGCTCTGTGCCCTCCCTCTGTAGCCCTCCCCTCCTCTTTTCCTCCCTCCCTTCCCACTTTCCTTCCTCCCTCTTTCTTACCTTCCCTCTTTTTCTTCCCTCCTTCCTCCTCTCCTTCCCCTCTCCCTCACTCCTCTCACTCCTCCTCCTGCCTTCCACACACATTTAGGAAATACCCACCCTGGAAGTGTCAGTATGAAGCCCCTACAGCACGAAGGCACAGCAGACGAGGTGGCCCTGATACTTCAAACCCTCACAGGACACAAAGACAGTTTGCAGGTGCCATCTCAGTCTTTCTTACAAGGCAAATGTTGGTGCTCATAGCACCACAAACTTAAAATTTATGAAAATAGTTTCTCTTCCTTCTGTGAGTGAAACAACTCACACTATAATGTGGTTTTGTAATGGAAAAAGAAAAAGTGAATAAAGCACTGTCAGGAAAAGATTATTTTCTGGACTCAAAAGTCCAAAGCATGAAATGGGATTTGCAGCCTGTGGAGAGGGAATACCATGTTGAGCTCAGGACTTCTGAACAACACCAGGCACTGAAAAGAGCCTTCCGATACTCTTGTTGAAGGCTGCACCTGTCTCCCCAGCACTCAGCTATGCACTGGCCCCGCCAGCCAGTGTCTGGGGGCAGGGACAGAGAGCCTGCTCCAAGGCTAAGTAGGAGCTTTTATGCCTGCCCCAGAGCCATCTTCCACTTGCTTGTAAAAAACCCAGACAGTTCCTCAAACGGTAATACTCAGCTTCTACCACCTTTGTCATTCAAAATATTCCTTCTAAAACAATATGTTTGCTTCTTGAGATCGCCAGTCAGAAAGTCTCTTCTTGAAGTAACTTTGGCTCCCTCCCTCTTGATTCCTTTCAGTGGGCTCATTTGTTCCTGACCATCATCATGTGACAAGATCCCTCATACACTTCTATCTCAGAGAAAGGATGATAAGCTCTGTAGGACTAGAAGGACTTCCCTCACTCCTAACTGGCCCTTTTACTGAGAGAGATAGAATCTTCTAGAATCATCTGGAACCCACTGAAACTCTCTGGAGCCTTCTGGAACCCTCTAGAAACTTGCAAAATCTACCGAATCTTGTCACAAAACTTAGTACTCTGATGCAGGGTACTCATTAGAATTTGATACACTACTTAGGTTTAAATAATTTGAATAATAATTGTCCTGTTCAATAAAAGTAGTCTTCTTTATCAAATTCTTTCAATTGGGAAAGGGAATTTCTCACTTATTTTCTTTAGTCCCAGATAACATTGAAATAATCTGCTGCTATATACTGACCTATGCTGATGTACAAATTTAAATTTCATATTTCAAACCAAGTTTATTCTGATGACAAGTGAAGAGCATTCCATGAATTTTTAACAAAGGAACTGATTTTACAGGGGCTAGTGAGGACATTCTCATACAAAATTTTTTAAAAATGCTAGCAACATTGTTTAGTTCCTCCAACATAAGCACCCACAACAGTAAAGCAAACAAATCCACAGTGGGCTGAAACTGTGGTTTCTGAAACTCTCTTCAACCTTGGCTAACTTGGGGGCTCCCAAAGGACAGGATTACTTCATGTCAAAGCAAAAATTTCTCCTGACTCTGTAAACAGCCCACAGTTCTGGGAACTATGGAAAACATAGATCAAAAATGAAGACATGTTGTGTTTGGAAAGGCGACCTATGATGGTGAACTTTTACTCCTGTGGGATCCCCATCTGCTATAGGGTCTTTGGGCTCCCTGTCTTCATGATGTTTTCTGGATCTCTCTCTTTACCTTCTTTCTCAGAACACCCATTGCCAAACCCTGAATGTCACTGATTCTATGACTGAGAATCTGGAAGCCTAATTAAATTTGAGTTTCCTTGGAGCTTAAATTGTACTGTGTATTTTTAACAGTAAATAATTTTGCATTTTGTAGCACACACAAAAACATGGCAAGTGAAAAAACAAAAGTCACTGAGATCTGAATTTCCCACTGGTTTTGTGGTCAAAACCAAGTTTATCCTCTCTTTTCTCCCTTCTGCCACACAAGTGATTTTCATCACACACTCTAGTGTGGGTAAGTGTCAACTTCCTCACTCTTGCTGAGAATATTTTATGATTCAGCAACTTTCAAGTGAACTTAAAATTTATTCTAACTCTGTCAGGAAAGAAAGGATAACACAGGATTGCATTAGCATAAAGTTCAGAACCTTTTAAAACATCATGCAATTCATCTTGTAAAGATGTAAGGATGATTTACTCCAAAGGACTACCTGTGATGAAGAAAATGTTTCCAGAAATTTTAAACTTCATGTAGTAAATGAAAAAGGGGATTTGGACTTTTGATGAGACCCAAGGACCTCTATGAGATGTGAAAGAACTAAAAGAGAAATTTGCAGTATATTCTACCCGTTCCTTCGGCAACGGGGATATTTCCTTGTTTTAAACCAAACAAACGCTAGCAGAGAAAACCAGCTGCTTTTACAATGGAAAAAAAAAAAAAAAAAAAAAAAACATTACCTCAACTTGTGCCTCACTGAGGTACTGGTGCTTGTCAGATTTTCTGTTTCGTGGAAGCTTGGGTATTTCCAGGATGCTGTCAAGGCAGACAAAACAGAACTACGCCAGATGTGTCTGAGAAGATGGGCCCTCCTGGCCCTCTAAGTCCAAGGATTGGTGGTAAGTCATGGCTGCTGTCAAAAATAGCACCGACAGGATTTGGCATCTTGACACATGGCCGCCTGGTTCTGGCTGAGTGCTCCGAACAGTAGCCAAGAGAGGAGGCAGCATGCGTGCAGGGCGTGGGCTGGAGCCTGGAGTTGGGGTTCAAGAACCAGCTCCCTCTGTAGTTTCTGCTTCAGGAAAAAAACAAGAAGCCAGCATCTTTTGCTCCTTGTGTCCCTCCACAGGTCACTCACATTTGACCTGGAGCAATCAATAACATGAATCATGCCCGAAGAAGCAAATGAGCACTGAACAATTCAAAACAAGAGAAGAAGGGATTTTATCAAAGTAGCAGCACCAAGACTCCTTTCTCTTTCTATCTCTGGATTACTGGGTGTCACTTATACTCAAGGTGCAGAGCTGGGGCTGGTGCTGGAGTCTGGGTGCTCCAGGCATCAGCTCCATGTGCAACCCACAAGCCAGACAGAGTGCTTCACGGAGCCTGGCTGGAGGGGTGAGCAGAGTGCAAGAGCTGTGTCCTCTCTAAAGCAAACATGTAGGACCTAAAGGAGGAGTTAGCCAGTCAGGGCACCAAAGTCAGGCAAGGTGAGAGTCAGCACCTCCAACTGATCACCAAGAGGAAGGAACCTAGAACACTTGTGGGTCTAGAAAAAAAGAAGGAGAATTCTTGGTGAGCAGCCAGTCCCTTCTGACTGCTTATTTCCAACCTTGAACCCATCCAAGCTGATGTGTAGGCTGTGGTATAAGCACAGCATCAGGCTGTCTCTGTGCTGACTGCACCAATAAAGGAATCTGAGTCTTGCCATGTACCCTAGGCTGGCCTTGAACTCGAGATTGTCCTGCTTCAGCCTCCTGAACACTGGGATTATGGGTATGTACCACCACACCTGTCTAATGAACTTAGAAGAGTTTTCTAAATGCTCTGACCTTCAGCTATCTTATTTACACACTGGGGAAAACTGTCCCTTAGGTTTATGGGTGTACATAACGTAATTACCACAATGTCAAGCACATAGTACACATTCAGTTGACACTAGGGATGGTAGTTGTACTGCATTTCAAAAAGCCTTATTTTCAATAAGCAAAACATGCCATCAGGAAACTATACAGCCTAACATGTTTGAAAAGCCTCTGTATTTGGTTTTGCATCTCACCCAAGACTTTACCTGTCAGCGCTTTCCTTTCTGAGCTCCACGCTCCACGGATGTTAAAAACTGTACACTTCCTCATAAATTCTGAAGACTTTGTCTGTTTCCCAGCCCTTGTGACATGCACACCCCTGCCATGAGACACTGTGAGCACCTCCTTCTCACAGTCTGCAGTGCTCAGTTGTCATTTCTAGAGCATGTGTGACGTTAGATTCCCTTGTTCAGTGCCAGCGTCCTCCATGCAATCTCAGGAGACCAGGAGCCATGCTTCAATTATCTGCCCACCCCTGAGCCACAATTAGCAAGCGGCAGCCATCCCACAGGAGGAGCTCCGTCTGAGGGAGGAAGTCGGGACCCATCAGGACTCTCAGAATTGTTAACACCCTCATTCTTCATAGCTCGACTCAAAAGTGAAAAGGCCGCCAACTAGGACAGAAGGAGGAAGTGAGCACACAGCTCAGACGTGCGCTGCACAGAGCCTATTCTGCTCTAAAAGAATGGCACTGGGTGAAGAAATGGCTATTTGTTCTCTAATACCTACTCATTTTTCCCCCTGATAATCATTTCACCTGGACCCATGGACATTTTAAACAAAAACATTAAATGTCACAACATTCCCTGCAATTAGGTACGAGCAGAATCTGTATAAACTCTGATCAATGAAATGCAGACCAAATTTTTTTTCCTCTTCAATCCATTCGCTTAAAAAATCTAGGCCGTAAATATGCAGTCAAAGCTTTCAGACCTTGCCACCTACTACCGGTGTGTCACATAGCAGATTCTAGCACTCTATCTTGAGTGACAGCTAGAATGGACTGTTCATTTTAACCTCTATGAATTTCCTTTGTTTGCATTGTTTTCTTTCTTTCTCTTTTTTCTTCCGATATTTGGAATAAAGATGTAATGGCTGGAGCTTGGCTGCTACACTGAACTTTAAGGAAGAAAATAATTTGTTAGTGTGGCTGAATGCAGATCTGGACAGAGATTAATATTTTAGAAAATTTAACCACTAGCCCAGATCTGGACTTCTTATCCTATGTCTTTTCATTTTCTTAAGCAATTATTGCTTTTTAGATATTGTTTCTTATCATTAGGTTTCCAAGGAGCCTCTAAAGATCAAGAATAGAATTTTAAAAACAATTTCAATTGGAACAAGAGAACTTTGAGAATTTCAAAGTGATAATATAATAATCTTTTGAAATAATAAATTTTCAGACTCTTCATAGTAGCATTTTGATAATAATATATATTATCAATATTGACAAAAGATTATTTTAACTCCAAATATTTGACTATCCCTTGAGTGTGTCGCCTAAAGGTTGATGTGTTGGTTCCTGGCTGCTCGGGGAGCTGACACTGTATGCTGGGATTTTTGTGGAGAGAGCCTAGAATACGGTCACTAGGGCCAGGCTCTTGGAGGAGGGCACAGTTGCTCTCATGGGATTCTGTGTCGGTTCTTGAATAAGTTGTTATAAAGAGCCCCTCCTCTGTGCTGGACTCCTGCCCAGCCATGCTCTTTATTTCTTCCCCACATCTTACTCCCACTATGGTGCTATCTACCCTGAAATGATACATCTGAGATGATCTTCCCCAGAGCCAGCACTAAGCTGTATGTACTCTCAGGCTCCAAAATTATGGGCTAAACAAACCTCTTGTCTTTATCTGGACCTAGCCTCTGGTATTTCATTACAGTGACAGAAAGCACTGAGCAAATTCTAAATATCATGAGAGACTGGACAAAAATTGTTCAATGGCTAGCATCAAACCAGATGGCAGGACATTTCTACAGTAATCACTAGTAGACAAAAGGCTATCATGTTAATTAGGCGGCACATCACTCCACAATGCAACTGCTTTCCAAGGTAAAGAATTCCGCAGTCTCTCTTCTTACATTCATGGTGCTGTTTCTCAATTAAAAGCCCATTGAAACTGGGAAGAGTATTCAAAATATGAATCCGTCTATAGAGTCTGGATGGCAACAAGTCAGGACCAATGCTGCCTGTGAGATGACCTGTCCATCTGTCCTGGTTCATACCAGTGTATCAGTCTGGGAGCACCAATTGCAGTGTCCACATGAAATCAGGTTACTCAAATCATCAACCACATTCTGTCTGGTTTATACAATGACACATGAGAAACATGTCTGTGTCGTGTGTAAAATGCCAGGTCCAGAGACATAGCTCTTCTTTCTTTGTGAGTTTCCCTGAAGGACTGGTACAGAAGAAAAGGAGACTCCGGATAGATTTTGGGGAGGTCACTGACAGGCATTTTTAGAATGTACTTTTCTTAACCATTGCTTGCCTGTGTTTCAGTGAGTGCTCACTTGCATAAATGTACACACAAACATACACAGAGTAGTGTGCTTGCAGCCAGAGATGCCTTAATGCTGGGCCTTTGGCCACCAGTACTGGCTTCTTCCTTTGCAGGAACAAGAAACTTGAGTCCCCAACATACTGGATTTACTTCTGGCATTTAGGCCACAGGTTTGCTAATGTCTAAAATACTATTTTTGATGTGCAGCTGTTGGGTTGAAACATCTGATAGTTTCTCTTCTCCAGGCTGGTTTGGTACAAGATACCAGTAAATGATCACTTGTTTCAGTTCTTAGAAGAGTCAAAAGGCTAATAATATTAGCTAGTAGTTCCTCCTAGATGCTGGTAAATTACCTAGCACCATTCCCAGGTGATATGGACTTTTTTCCTTAAGATCTGTGGTCCTACATAGCTAATCACATGGGAGAGTGAGAGTCACACCTTACACACATCCTTGAATTTACACTGAATCTTTGCTACAGTTGTCCACCTTTCTTTGTGATATTTCCCTGTGCATTTAGAGACTAATAAGCTATGATTCACCAAAACAGTCATTTGTCTTCCTGGAGGCCATTAGTAAGGCCCTTTCCAAGTGTGGGAGGGAAAGGATGATAAAACACTTAGTAACTGGTAAGATTCAACAGCTGTGATGGTTCCAGCAATGTCCAGTCAGAATGGACCCTGGCCACAGAGCTCAAGACAACTCATGGAGGACTCAGAAGGCTCGGGAGAACAACTTGCCGCCCATTGGTAGGGGACATACTTGTTCATCTTAAATACCGGCAGATCTGTTCCTGGGTGCTCTTGGGAGAATTCATGTCTGTCTTAGCAAACATCTTAGTAATCTGTTCTTGTTATATTTCTCCAGCTTGAATGTTTGATGATTCACAATTAAAACATTTATCAAGGTCAGTAGCCAGTTTGCCAGTAAAGCCCTATTTACCAGTAGCCAGAGGGCCTTTGCCCCTATCCAGAGAATCATCTCAGATAACTTTAGAATAATATCTCATTTATCTGCATATGCATGTGAGAGATTACGGTAACACAGATGCCAAATCATCTCTGACTTGGAGTAAACTGAACCGCAAAATAATCAGTAGTGCAATACAGTTTAAGAAGACCCTGATATCATCATAGTTGTTGCAACAGAAATGCAAAGGCTTGAGCTGCTCACTGTCCTGTCCGCATCGGTCCTACCAGGCTCTTGTTCTGGCCGCCACACTGAGAAAGGAAATGACAGACCATAGTATGCATCCAAGGATGGGTGATGAGTCCTGGAAACATACAACATGTGGACCAGGTGAAGACTGTTTCATTGTGGGTGTTTACTTTGGTATTTATTGGAATGATAAATAGGATTATTTCATGCTGCTTCAGATGGGAAAAATAGAGCCAGTGGGTGGAAGGCAAAGGGAAGTAGCACTGGGATCACTGTAAGGAAGAGTTAAGGGAAGAAAAATGAACTACTATGGTAACACAAGGTCAAAATCAGTGCAATTCGATTTAAGAAACATCTGTGAAGCCACTATTGGGCCCTGGTTACTTGTAGTAAAGAAGAACGTGCTGACTTTAGTCTGCTGATAGAGACAGGTGTGAGAAGAATTCATGAAGAAATATCACAATATGTGCTTGAAGAAATGGTTCACAGATCCCAAAGAAGGACAGAAAGGCAGCAATTAATTTTTATGATGAGAGAAGGAATGGGGAAATTGTCTACAGCAAAGAGAGTGGCAGAATTATGTCTTGTAGAACAAATTCTATTTGACCAAGGCTGATACGGTCAGTCTGTTAGAGAAT